CAGTACGGTGCATTACGGCTTCTTCGCTGTGGAGTGGAAAATTGAGGGGATATACTATATAACTGTGCGGACCTTACTGTGTGTACCGTCGTACTCCAGTCATGCTGGTAAGTCGGGTTGTCACCGGTGAGGGTGGGCAAGTTCTGTTGCGAGGTGCTATCATATACTGTACCGTACGGTGGATTAGGGTGGATGGGTGGATGGGTGGATGGATGGTGGGAGGTTGATGGTCGTGCCCCCGGTGCGATGGATGGTCCGCTGTGGGGGAGCTATTGGCGGTGGTCTGGTCGATGGATATCTAGAAGTTGGCCTTCTCGGACTCCTTTTTTCCCATCTTGTCGGATGGGTGTGGGTGTGGAGGGTGGGGTCCGAATGTCGGGGATCTACTGTACTGGTACACATCCATAAACCCTGGGAAAAGGCTGATAAAGAAAAATTTGGCAGGAGTAGTCTAAAGGTGGATGGCCCAGGCACGGCGGCGGCGGATAGCGATACCTATCGACGCTTAATGCCGGTATAATCTAACCGGCGACAACGGAATCGGGTCACAAGACCTGCCTGCACTTTTCCGATCTGTAACAATGGCAACCCGGACCGTTCTTCACTTTGGAACTTTTCCGATATGATATCGTACTCCTACACTCCCAAACTCTTAGTGCGAGAGCAGAGGAATGGTGTAATTTAAACCACTATATAAAGACAGGGTAATATATGCAGCTCTCTTCCTCTCTTTTTCTTTCCTTTCTTTCTTTCTTTCTTTCTTTCTTTCTTTCTTTCTTTCTTTCCAAACCGACCAGACCAAAACAAAACAAACCCCAAGGGAGAAAAAAAAAAGCTAAAAACAGAGCCCTTCGCTATCGTCAAGTTTACAAACGTGAGGAAAAGGGAAAAAAAAACTAAATAAGGATAGGTGAAAAAAAAAATAACCAAGGGTATGATATGATGCTGATGATAAAGAAGAAAAAAAACCTCTCAAATTAGACCCAACAGGAATTTCCCCGCTACCACCAACAAACCGAACCCCGCAGCCCGTTTCCCCTCCCCCACCAAAGAAATTTTGAAAACCGGCCCCACCATACCCCACCCTTTGCATTGTTACATGATAATCGTGAATAATGTGAATGAACAAGGTGAACGAGATGAGAAGAAAATAAAAAGAAGAAAAAAGCAAGAGATAACCACCCAGTGTAGCAAGAAAACAAGCCAGAAGAAGCAAAAGCAAAAAGAAAACAAGACAAATAGCCCCCCTCAATCACGATAGGCTTCTCCCATTTCAAACTCCACCCACACCAGCATTTGTAGCTCAGATCGTCAGGTCAGGGTCGTAGTAGGTTCTATTGTCTCCTAATCTAGACCTTACCACTGCGGAAGATATCCGTCCACTTGATCTTGATAGGGTCAACCCTTACAGTCTGGCCGCCGCCAGGGGTCTGTGTAATGGTGACCGGGAGGGCCATCGGGTACGGCTGCCCGGCAATCTGGACGTACTTGACGTATCCGCCGTTAGGGCCAAGGACGGCCGGGGCCTTATCGGCAGCTTCTTGGATTTGCCTATAGTAGCCTTTTCCACTCGTTAGTCCCTGAAGACGGCGAGGTGGAGAAGCGGGCGGGGTGGGGGGTAGGAAATGGAGGATAGGTTTACCTCGAATTTCCTTGGTCCGGGCCCAGAGGTAGTTTTGCTCTTGCTTGTCGACGGCACGATGGACGAGGAAGGAATCGGGCTGCACCGTTTTGTTAGCTTTTTCGTTCTCTCCGGATTGGTGGGGGATGCAAACTGACCTCCTCAGTGTACGAGATCTGACGCTCGTCAAGCGCCTCCTTGCAAAGGTGAGCTTTGGAGAACTTGGTGTATGTTCTTCGGGAAGAAGGTTGCTGCGGCTGCTGCAGTTGCTGCGGCTGGCCCATGGCCATCAACCTAGCTGCTATGGTTGCCTCGAGCTCTTCCTTCTTCCTTCGATCCTCTTGCTCCTTCTCGCGAACTGCCTTCTCCTTTGCCTCGAGAAGCCGCTTCGCTGCGTCCTCGATCTTCCTACGTTCCTCCTCCTCTTGTCTCTTCTTCTTCTCCGCAGCTTCTCTCTCCTGCTTATGCTGCAGCCTCAACTTCTCAGATACCTTTCGCTCGATCTCATCGGTTCGGAGCTTCTCAAGTCGAGCGTTCTCCTCGGCCAGCTTCTTGCTTTCTGACTCGGCTTTGACCTGCTTTAGTTGTAATTCAACGTTCCGCAAGTGTTTGGTGAGTGAAGCAAGTTCCCCGTTGTGATGGTGCCCGTCGGGACCATGATGAAGCCCGACCTCATGACCGGTGGGCTCGAAGGAATCGCAGGAATCGCAAGATGGAGAGCGGGAGTGCTGTCCGCGTGCTCTCGAATGAGATCGAGAGTGATTCCGAGAGCCGCCGTAGGAGGAGTTGCTGTAGGTTGACCCCTCCTCCCGGTAAGTCTTGCTATAGTAGTAGTTACCCCCGCTGGGTGAACCTCGGTCTCCGCCGGAGCGAGCGATCTCCATGTAGACTGAAGGGCGGGTGCGGGACCGCTCCGAGTTGGACCTGGCCACCCCCCGACTGCCGGTGCCCAGTTGGTTACCGTAGTAGGTCCCTCGCCCACGTTCCGGGATCGTAATGTATGGGTCTCCTGCAGTATTGCTTACTGTGCTTCTCCGGGTACGAGAGCTATCGCGCGAGGGCGTTGGTGACATGTTTGGGGTAACCGGGTAGATCATTGGGGAGTTGGGATCTGCATATTGGACATCTGGGGAGGTGTAGGGGAAATCCGATCCCATCTGCGGTGGGGCCGGGGCCTCGACATAGCCGTATTGTGTGCCTGGTGTATAAAAGTTGGACATGACGACCCAGTCGTGATTGTGGGGGTGGGACGGGGTGAATTGGTTCGTTCACGAGACGAGGTGGAAGCGCTCTCAGACGAGATACTTTTCTTTTTTTTTTTTTTGGTTCAGAGGAAGTAGGCTCAAAGTTCAAAAGCTCGAGCGGACAGGGGGTTGTTTAAGGTGGTGAAAAGGGTATGGTATCTTAACCAGTCTGGTGGGGAAGGCTGGCAGGGAAAGACAAGCTTATTTGTACCTTGTGGTGTCTCGTGGATGGCGTGCGGATTGATGGAGGGGAAAGGGAACAGCAAGAGCAAAGAAGGCGGATACGGAGGACCTTTTAAGGGTGTCACAAAGGGGGCCCAAGTGAGGAAAAGGGAAGAAAAAGAGGAGGGATGTGATGTGGGAGGGGTGCCAGGGCGAGTGAATGGAACGACCGGAGTGAAGGAAGGGGCGAGGAGGGGGAGGGGGGGGCAGTGTGGTGGGCAAGCTGGCACTGGCTGGCACTGGCTGGCACTTGGACAAACACCGTAAGCAAGCAAGCAGGCAGGCAAGCAAGCAACACCAGCAGCAGCACACCGGCGGCAAAGCGAGACGCACTGAGCGAAGGGGGGAAAGAGAGGGAGACGAGGACGGAGGTGAAAATCGACGAATGGAGAGAGAGACTCTCATTCCCCATTCTTCCCAGAACCTCTCACCTCCGGCTAACGAGCAAACGATCTACCACCATCGTAGTCATCAAGAGTGTTGGAATAGATGGAAAGAATCATGGAACCATAGCCACTCAATCAATCAATCAATCAATCAAACGATGGAGAATATCTCGTTCTCTTTTCTTTTCTTCTTTTCTTCTTTTCTTCCCTGCCTTCCAGCTGCCACAACACTTCCCCTCTCCTATCACACTCAATCTCCCTTCCCCCCCCTCCATCTACCCAATCAGCGGAGGAGAGGTCTGATATAGACCGGCATACACATGCCATAACGCGGGAATGCCCTCCCTTTTCTCGCTATTCCTCGCTTTGTCCATACCTTTTACTCGTACACTACGGTACTCACACCGTACCGTAAGCACTTGTCAATCCATACCCAACCGTCCCATCCCTGTAGTGCACATATATTTCAAATCCAACCCTCGACTCAGTCATTCCACTTTCTTTTCCCCTCGCTCGCAGCCGAATGGGCGGAGTTCGTGGGTGATAGAGAAGGGTCGGGAACTAGAGTGCTGCAGAGTCTAGAGTACTGTACCACAACCACAACTACATGATGAGCCTCAGCTTGTCATTCCCCGTTATGATACCCACTTTTCACCGCGACAGCGAAACCCAAACTTGAGTTATCCAAACCATTTTTCCTTCACCCCTCCATCGCCTCCCAGAATTCCCTGTTACACCTTTTTTCATTTTTTCATCTAGAGGTTCTCGCCAGCCAGCAGAGAAAACCCTACTGCCGGTTGTGGGTGGGGTCCGGATCCCATAATGCACAGCACGTTCCAGCCATTGAAGACAAAGGAAGCAGGTGGGAGAGACGAACCACCAGTGAGTGTGAGTCACATCTGTTTCCCCCGGCTCATTAACCATACGACATCGAATCCCGACCCCCCTCCCCCCAATTCGCTGCGCGTGTGGTGCAGGATGTGGTAGAATCGTTGGCTCTTTTGTTCTCTCACTGTTCCCCCCCCCCCCCCCAACTACCTATACCGTATCCCGCTCTCCCTCAAGCTCGATTGAGTGGGCGGCGGAGGAAAACGCAAGCTCCAGTCACGGAACGAATAGTTTAAACAGGCGAAACGCAAAAAGAGGCGGAGCATCAGAAAAAGTCCACAACAGCAGGGAGAAAGAAAAAAGAAAAAAAAGGTAAAGACAACACAAAAAGAAGGCTAAGGTTTTCCTCCCCCGAGACTTAGGACGGGAACTACATCATCATCGTCGCTCCTACCTATCGTGCCTGCCCAACTCTAGGGCAACCCTTGAAAAAGAGGGACAACTAACGGTCGGTACACATATTATCATCGTAGATTTGCCTTGCATGACGATTTCCCCCTATATTCCTCCCTCCCCAAACCAGGAAAGTTGGAAAAGGCGGGAGGAAAAAAAAATCTAAGATCATCAGGGCAGGGCAACAAAAAAAAATGTCATGCTCGAATGATAGTAGGAAAACCACTTCACTAGATTTAATTAATTAGGGTTGCCCTGTCCTTGCCCCACCGCGCCTATCATAGGCGCGTAGCGCCCTGGCTCCAGTTCCCAGTGTATCGGGTACGCGCATCACCGGTACACTTCTACCGAGGGGACAAGGCGGCTACTAATGCTCCGTCATAATATGCCCTTCACTTCACACTGCCCACAGCAAGTTATAAAACTCCGCGTTCTCCCCTCTAACTCATCGCCGTACCCGTTACTTTCGGGATTGGGGTACCGGCGCTAGGAATGAGGAAGGCGGGTGGTGGGGGAGGGAGGGAACTGGAACGGGTGGGCTGGAACGGATGGAAGGGAGGAAGGAGGGAGGCATGGAGAGAGGACAGTACAATTGTTTCTACTCGGAAAAAAAAAATGATAAATTTTATTACTTTTTTTTTTCTTTCCCCTTCTCTTCACCCTCCAGGGAGGACGAACAGGCGAGAAAAGAATACCGGTAAAAAAGGGGAAAGAAGGAAATAGGAATGGGGGAATACCGTAGGTCAATTTTTTCTGTGTTGTCCAGTTGAAAAAGTGGCAAACCTCAGCTTGTTGCTCTCTTACCCTTTTGGTCGGTCGACCTCTTCTCAGCTAAATCACCTGACCGACATTATCCGGCGGCTCGAGGATCCTCTCGCAGGGCTAGAATCCACAGAATCGCCATGTTTCCAGAAACCCGGGGAACAGGCGGAGGAAGGAAAAAAAAGAAGAAGGGGAATGTTGGACAGGAAGGGGGAAGAGAGGGGAGCAAAAGGGAAAATGCGGTGTGTGTGCGAGTGTGTGTGTGAGTGCGGTGTGTGTGTTGTCAATTGTCGCAGGAGCCCAATCGATTGCGTTGTTCACAGATTGAGATGGATGGGGTTGACGATAGATGGATGGATGGACGGGTCGAGATGATGGGATGCGCATTGGCGTGGAAAAAAAAAGGAAACAGAAGGGAAATTAATCACGGTTGTTGTGGAGGAGGGGGGTGGGGGGGGAGTGGCGGAGGTGAGAAATCAAGCAAGGCACAGGCGAGGGATGGAGGGAAGAAATTGGGAGGAGGTACTATACCGGTAGGAGGGGAGGGGAAAAGAAGTGGAGTAATCATCCACCATTTGAAACTCTGTCATACCTCCACTTGTACCTCGCTAGCTGGACTACGGGTACAGTACAGTACACTGATTCTCTTTTTCCCTTCTCTCTGCCTCCTACTCCCCTTCTCACCTCCTCCACCCTCTCAGTACTCCACTGTTGAGGGATTGTTCAGGGTATGGTATCTCCTCTCGTCTGGTCTCGTCTCGCTCGAATTCCCCACGGGACCCTCATCGATGGGAGGAAGAAGACGCCTGCCGGAATCCCCCATTGGATTAGCCGCATCGGTCGAACAACGCATTCCCTGCGTACCCTACGCGGTTACCTGCCGAACGTACATCCTATCTGCCCCGTATCTGGTCCGCGGTACTCGATTCACCACGACGAGTACCGGTAATCCACGGCACTTACAGCGCCCATATGAATGCTCGAGTACCGTACGGACGGAAAATGGATCTCTTGCAGAATATACAAAAGTGCATATTGTTCACCTATTGCCCCTATTTATGGCATCCACTTCCTCCCAGCCACAGACGGTCACAGAGCAGAGCTCGTGGTGGAGGATTCGTACAAAGTTCGATTCTAAACCCTCCTAACACAGTTTGAGGATGCCAAAGGGGAATGGGTGGATAAGGTGTGCCGAGCCCTGGTTGGCTTGAAAGGGAATCCGTATACTTGCCCAAGTTCGGAAAAGTGGTGTGGCTGGTTAGGCTAGCCAGTAGTCTGCCTATTATGCTTTTTGGCAGTCAAATCGCCGCATAAGCATATATCCGAAGATAGGAAAAGTCACGTTAGGGAGCTGTGGATTTGCCTGAGGTAGAGATCACTGGATAGGTCGGCCTATATAGCCGACAGTAGTTCACATCTGCCCAACCCCAGGCCAACCCAGTCGTCTATGCTCTCAGCAATATCTAAAATAAATGCTCCGAAATTGAAAGATTAAAATTTTCACCCAAGCTGCCACCACTCTGCATTGAGGATATCAACTGAATGGGAGAATGGGAATGAAGCATGCAGAACCATGGATGGCCTCCGAAACTCCTGAGATCCATTCAGAAGGAAAAAAAAATAGAAAAAAAACCCCTCAGATCGCTTTCGTAAATCCAGATTCGCAAGAGACTCCCCCATGGATATGTGCCCACGTAACATGAAAGCTGTAAGAGCTATAAGAAGAAAGTGAAAAATGGGAATACACACAAGCAATAACGAGGATGGCAGGAATCGGGCTAGTCGCCGTCCCGTCCGCTCCGCTGTGGCTGCTCTGCCCCGATGCTCCTGCGTTGTGGTCCACAGCTGCTATTGAAGTAGCCATGTTTACAACCGGGAATCATCATCACGACTCCCATCTCCTCTACCGAGCCATTCCAACCGAAAATAGCCGCTTCCAGACCCCTCTGAACCTCCAAAAGATTTTTCGTTCTTATCCTAATCACACAATCCTCGCTCACGTGCCCTCTCTTTTTTTTCCGCCACTCCACTCTGCACCTCCGGGGACCCGTCGCCCGACAACCCACACCTCCTCCTTACTCATCTCACATGGGTGCCATGGAGATCTTCATCTTCGGCTGAGAATCTGGTTCAAGTTATCCTGTGCCTTCTCGAATGTGGTTTCGAGATAAGTGAATTTCTTCTGGAGGTCTTTGATATCGCCCTCGGCGCTCTTCTTCTCGTTGTCAAGGCGGGTGAGGACGGAATCGAGGTCTTCCATAACGAACCTATAACCGTGCGCTATAGTTAGACATTTATACAATCAAGCCAATACCCCAAAGAAGGAAGCTAGAATCAGCGGAATTTTCAGATGCGAAAGTGTTACAAAGTTGAATTGTGCGTGTGCAGGAAAAGAAAAAGACTGTCACGCTGCAAGAAAGCACCATCGAACCACACAGCCCCACAACCACACAACATGGATAATGGGGACAGGTAAAGGGGACCACTGTACATTTTCCCGACACCTTCGTACACCCTTGTGGATTTGGGCAGCGTATCCAGTTCTTTGGAAGTCAACTGCAGAAGCCGTATGTCACGCTGTTTGGCTGCCATCTGGGACTTGACAATTTGGAGCTGTTGCTGGGAAAAGGTAGCGCGCGCCTCGATCTCTTGCATCAACTATCAATTCGATAAAAGAGAACGGTAGGCAACCTAGTTAGCTTCGTTTCGCATTTTTCTTCTCCTCTGATTTAAATTCCCTTCCCGAAGTGGGGCAGGGTAGATAGGGAGATAACGGAGAGGAGAGAGAGGGGGGGGTGCATACCTTCTGGAGAGCTTCATTCGGTATCGACATCGTAGCGGGCGAGAAGTTTGTGAAGCGTTGAGGCAACAGTGTGCGGAAAAAGGGTGAAGGTATGTTACGGTAGGAAAGGCGGGCGGTGCGGGGAGACAGAGTGAGGTTGTTTGCTATCTCTCCCGGTTCGGTTAGTGGCGTGAGGCTCTGCTCGGAAAACAGGGGTGTCGTGGTCGCTCCCTTCCCGTCGGCTCAGGGCGATGAAAAAAGCGTTATCATAATTATGATATTATACTCTATTCACATTGGTACCATAAAACTCTTCTCTCGAAACGTATTAAGAAGTTTCCACAAATACCCGACACATACATCCCCTCCAGAGTTGTTTCATTAGCAAAAAGAGGTTTCTCAAAAGAGCCCTACGAGTACCTTCGATCAGCAAATCGCAATCGAGTGACGATCAGTGAATTGCCCACCAATGACCTATGATACATACCACCCCACCCCCCCGGCTTTTTATCCTAGCTGTGAAAGAAAAAGAAAGGGGATAAAAAAAAACTCTTCCACAAGGCAACAACCCCGATAGATTGCTTCCCACCAACGAAAAAAAAAACGTCCCGCCGAAACAAAGTTCCCTATCCCAGCGGGAGGGAGAACCCCCCCCATTTCTGCAAACCGCTTTGACTCCAAGTGTATTATAGAGTCGGGCTAGCATTCCATATGGCGGCTAACGCTTTGCAGCCACATCTGCTCCTCGACTTCTCAGGGCAACTCCAATCGGACACACGAACGATCAGATCAACTGTGCAACCAAAACCACGCTGGCAAACTCTTGGCAAAACGAGTGATCCGGGGTGAAGTCTGCTGGAGTGTGATAGAACAAGGCTGACGAAGGAACGAACGAACACGCACAATGCACATATGCACACGATGCGCACCGCGCTCACACACACAGAAAAGAGATACTAAAAAAAAAAAATTGTATTATATTACCATATGCTGCCGCTACCAGTAAGGAGAATTGACACTCGATCCGTGGCTCTGGTAAACATCTGCAACGAATCTCGACACGTCCCTGGTGGTGGCACTACAGCCTTGTTTGCCTGTCTGTTTGCTTGCAGGAACATAATAGAACAGGCACAGGCACAGGATCCCACCCATCCATCCACATACACTCGCACATTTCACGCAGGTGCAGATATCCAGCAAAGCTCTACTTTTTATTTTTTTATTTACGAAAAAAGTGGTTTGAACGCACCATATATCGGATACCGCACCGATCCGGAAGGGAGCTTTGAAGGCGTACTTAGCCTAGCCTAGTTCGATTCATATCGTCCCTCAATCCGTGTGCGCAGATTACGCAGCATTTCAGCGCTGTTGATGGCCTGAGGTAGACAAAAGATCTTCACCAAGGGCGGCGCGGCTGGGTATCTCCTTCGGTGGCCTGACCAGTAGAAGACGTCTACACAGTTGACACGATTGAACTGTTTCTGATCTCAGAGTGTTCTGAGGAACTAAAAGGCCCTACAAATACACGTGAAGTGTGGGTTCCTCCCCCCCCAAAAAAAACACGCGAGTGCATAAAATGGCGGTAGTACTGTAAGTGCATTGTAACTTCTGGGTATCGAACACATTCATTTCCCCCTTCCTTAGGTATCTTTCTCTCTCCCTCTCTTGCTTCTGCGTGTGCTGTTGCTGCCAGTTCCTGTCCGTCGGATTATGATACGTTTGTCTCTTGCAGCATAGATATCACGGAGCCAGCGCCACAGCGCCGGTATTACTTGATACATGTACCTTGTGAGCCTCCCTACCACCAATTGACTAACTGTCCTCTTCACCATGTGCGGTTGTCACAGAAACTCACTCGGACTTGGCAAAACAAGGTATCTATGATCTATCGGAGATTATCGTACGTAAACTTACTTACTGAACCGGCTTCTCTAGCCTGCCGAGAGATGAGAGGGCTCGGCTGCACCTGGGAAATACTTGGATCATCCTAGCACGTTTGGTGGCTTCAGGGATATGGGTAGCGCAGGCATCTGTGTGTATGTGCTCTTTTTTTTTTTTGCACTTTCGATTTTCCTCTCTTCTCGTATTACGGTTGATAGATGTGATAACTTTTGAATTTGTTGTACGGATATCGATAGCTTTCGACAATGGCGTGTTGCAACTGCATGACAACAACGTCCCTGACTATTATGGACCGAGCAGGTCAATACTAGGAAAGGGGGGGAAAGCCCTTCAGGTAGTGGGTTTTTTTCCCCTCCTTTTTCGGTCCATAGGAGACATCGAGTATCAGCTCCTCCTTCTTCTCTCGTGGCAAGGGAAGGCGGGGCAAAAAAAACTGCCGTGCGTGTCTGATCTTCCTTGGGGCGAACGGCCACCCTACTCGCCTAACTACCTATGCTACCTAGCAATTCTAGTTCGCCGAGCGGAGTAGTAGCTCAAGGGCTGTCAGATAGGTTCAGAGACAAACTATCGCAACCGGGGGACATGTGGCCATTCGGGAAACATATGTCTGATCCGCGTGCCGGAGCCCTCGGGTGCATTAGCATGTTCCGGGCTGAAAAATCTCCAATCCAAGTTGGCGCTTCCCTTATTCCATTCGTCCAGCCAGCGCGTCACCGAACTCCACCGCATCCTCAATCGACGCACGCGTTATTTCTCGTGTTAACTCCGTATACATCCCCCGGTATGACGGTGATGATATCCGAGACTGAAGCTCCAAGAGCCACGTAACCCGGGGGGGCTATTAGTCCATACATGCCATCGCCCTTTACAATCAGACTAGTTCTAGGCCGGGGGCACGTTTGAGAATATGTGGTGCTTAATGCTGGCTTTTTTTTTCTTTTTCGAGGGCGGTGGGCGCGCGGAGCACTTGTCTGAAGGGGAGGGATTATCGGAGATGGAGAGTATGGGATGTATCTATGAACTCCCGGGGCGCCTGTGGCTTCTGGAGGTGCCCGTGGGCATTAGGTTGTCATAGTTTGGGCCCGTGCTTAGGGGAAAGTGTCATTACCGAGGAAACAAGTGTTTGCTCCAGATGTTTGTTGTGAGTCTGAGCTGGGAATCAATATTCATGAGATGTCACTCGTTGTTAAACCTCAATCGTTGTCTACAGTACATGGAGCCCGGAAGGTGATTAGACCAGTATTGTATCATAGCTTCGACAAAAAAGAAAAGAAAAAAGAGCCCAAACACACTCTCACTGGAAAATTTAAATCTAGCTTCCCCCGCCATCGTCTTTATCATACGACAGGATAACAACCTTCCCAAATCCAAACTCTATCCTTGAGCGCCTTCCACACGCACACAGGCAACATTCTCAAATCACGATACATCCCCCACGTCCTCCCCGCACTAGCTTACCACAGCCCTAACCAAGTGCCCTAGAATCGCCCCCACCCACACAGAGCAGAGTGCATATCACATCATACATTTCCTATCCGTAAGTTTCAGGGAGATATCATATTATTATAAATGACATCATACCCTCAGCGCCCTACTCTGCTCTCTAGGGCGCACATTACTGTACCGTTTCCTCAATCCGCGTGACGACTGGTAGCTGTATGGATGGATGGATGGATAGGTAGTCTAACCAATAACGTGATCACCAGGAATCGAAAACTGCAGGGGTGGTAACCGGCAGGCGCTGCGTTACGGTGCCGGACGGATTTAAGGAGGGGAGGGGAGGGGATCGTGCTGAAACAAGGCTCTGCGTGCGATACCCGTAGAGTTAATTTACGCATTCACGAATGCTAGCGATCAAGAGAGAAATTTCCCGTAACTTGCTTATTCACGAATTGTTTCGATTGTGCGCTGCTGCTTATCGTGCCCGTCTATCTATCTATCCATCTGTCCATCCCGCCACGAAAGGGGATAAGGTGTTGTTCCTATCTGACAGGTGCAATCCTTCGCGGTGTGATACCTCTTTTCCCTATCGAATTGTCTCCCGCCGTTCCCCCGCCTGCATTCGTCCAATCGTTTGCGCCGGTTACTGTACTACAAGTGATGGGCACATGATTCTGCATGCCGTGACTTGCGTGGCCGACTAGAGAGGTGCTGTTTGTAACATGGTATAATAGATGATTTGCCGTAGGTGTATCTAGAACCCCTGTATGCTAAGGGCTGGAAATTTGGAGCTAGATATTGTTTAGGCTTTGTGGTAGATGTAATAAGACATTGAGTATGATGATGTTACAACAGGATACTAACTTGGAGTAAATCAACACCTGAGGTAGAACATCTTCTTCAACTGTCTGACATACTAGTGGGTTTAACACAAAGAAGTAGGTTCATTTCCTCCTACTCTGCTGATACATCAAGGTACTAGTTAACTAAATATTATGAGAAAAAAAGCAGACTTAAATATCAGATCAAATAATACTACTACCAGGAAAGTGAAAGCATGGTAGTATGATACCTAGCAGTCATGGAAAGATCATGCATTTATCTAACAAGTGCAAGCTGATGACTTAATTTTAAGTTAAATAGGATACAAGGAAGACTATTAGGAGAAAGTTTTTTTAAAATCTTACTTGATATGAGATGAGCCAGTCTCGGTCTTCTTATAAAGTCTACATAGGAAAACTTATTATAATATAGAATAACTGAAAGGTTAGTAGTTTTAAAATATATATGATACTAAATTGTATATTAGTATGAATTCAGAATAATCAAATAGAAATTAGAAGGAAGCAATATGCTTAAAATAAAGGACTACAATTAATGAAGAAGTAATATAGTATATCAAATATTTAGATAATATTCAATTTTGATAATATGAGTCACTGGCACTACTTAAATATATGTTCTATCCCACTGGCAAAGAATTTTACTTTGCCAAGGGGATATCTTCTTGGCCAAGTAGGTCACTTTCCTGACAGGTTATCCTATACATAAAGGAAATTTTTACCTATCCCACTAACAAAGCTTTTGGGTAAAGTGACATAATAGTAAAACATCAAACTCTATAGGAATAATAGTACTAGTATGTCTTAGAAGCTATTCTCATTGCATTTCTACTAGTATGGATAGAAAAGTGATTCCGATACATTTTTAGACTTCTTATTGAATAAAGACTTTAGTTATTTGTTTATCAAAAAAGACAATTATGTTTTTCAAGAATTAAATACAGGAACAGATAATTACCAAATAGAGAACTGAATAGAGGATGTGATAGAGTGGAGAATAAAGGAATAGATGGAGGACAGGGCAGAAAACTTTAAGTTTTTTTGATTGTAGTTTGCAAGAATAATTTTATCTGTCATTCATTAGATAGAAAATAACAGCTTACATGAAGAAACAAGAGAATAAATAAAGGGAAAGAAAAATAACAGAAATGAAAGGGAGGGGTGAGACAGACTCTACCTCATACAAATCAACCAAAACACTCAAGGACTATATGGCTTTAATGAGCATACCATAACTGTTACACATATGAACACACAGACCTTCCCCGCGCACAGACCTCCTGAAAAACCGCGAAAAATCCATGGCCAACACCCCCCTCCGGCCCCGCCGTTCGCCCTGCGCGCAGTAGTAGAGTCGCCGGAATTTGGTGTCCCGACAGTATAAACCGGTTGAAACGAAGCATGCTTCATAACACCGTATACGTCGTCGCCGTCCGTCCGACCGAAAGCTGTTCGCAGGATATATAAGAGGGGACCTCAGGCCGTGTCTGAAAAGTGGAACGGAGTCAATCGGACGGGTAACCACGGAGCTACGAGCTAAGCGAGATTGACCATCGCAGACATGGACAGAAAGTGTTGGGACGAAATCACCAACAGTCCAATGAGTTATCGGGACGTGCCCGTATGGACGAGGCACGGGGCCCAGTCTAACGCTCACATAGTATAGCGCCAACCGGAGGCCTATCTATGGTTGAGGGACTTTCCCACGACGTTGACTAGTCCGATCGTGGTGGAAAGTCCCCAATGTTAATGCAGTCAAGTCGCGAAGTCAACGGTGCATTGATAAGTCTCTCGACGGAGCTGATCACTCCAGTCAGAGTTAGGAGGACAGCGAGTTGGCTCGAAGCGAGACCACTCGTCTGTACTTAAACCTCCGAGACGAAGGAATCATGCGTTTTCGCCAGAGAGGTTTCAAACGCCCTCACGGAAACATGACAACGCATGGAGACCGTAGTTCGAGCAAGACACAAAGTTCATCAGGGTCAAACGGATGCCCATTACGGAAGTAAGGGTAGGAAAATGGAAAGGGTACATTATTTGGTATAAGATAGATGTAGCCCGCGACCACCCAGACGCGGAATATAAATATCGAGGTGCCTCCTTAGCTTTCAGAATTATCAGCGAACGGAGAAGAGATCTTATCAATATATTCGTTATACTTTGATACCTACTTTTGTTACAAGCTTTCTTGACCACTCTCCGAGAAACTTAATTGGCCCCAGTTACAATTCGCTTGACTTAGAATTGGCTGCCGCCTAACAATAACTAGTTAACAGAGTAAAGAAACCCCTTACTACCACCTCCTCCTGTATTCCAAACAAACCAAGAAAATGAAAAAAAAAAGTTTTTGATAGGTCAGAAATTGACAAGTATAATAGTATTCACATCAAATACCTTCTCAGAATAAGGTGCAAATTGTTGAATTATGGATTGGGTAGGAAGGGAATAAGGGGACAAGAAGAGAATTAGTAGAATATAAAAATAAAAATTTAATGTATTCCACTTGGTGGGTGGGGTGGGAAAAATTTAACTTGATGAGTGGGCTATCCTACAGGGCAAGTTCTCTACTTTTCCAAGGGGATATCCTCTTGGTGGACAGAATATCCCCTTGGTGAAGTAAAATTCTTTGTCAATGGGATAGAACATAATATACAAAAATAAAAATAAAAATAAAAATAAAAGATAAGATAAGATAGTAAAAACAATAAGAGACAGAGAAAAGATACAGCCACGCGCAGGTGGTAACGGAACACATGACAAAATTCTCTACTTTCTAACTCCCCTCCATATAGCAACAACCCACACAACATGCCAATTGATAAGAACACTGGAAAGCGGCAGCCGGCTACAGAAATCGAGTGTATTGAAGTTATTGAAAAGTATGCTGAAGGCAAAAATTACCGCGAAATTGCTTCTGAAACCACAGTCTTAAAATTGGAGGCATAGCAAATTGTCAAACGATAGAAGACCAATAAAACAATCAACCCACTACCACGTCCTGGATCGAAGCCTAAACTGGATGCACATGCAAAGCGGTGATTACATCGCATCAATGAGCAAAATCCTCATGCTCGGCTTTGAGATATCACAGCTGATCTGAACCTAGAGGTATCAGAATGAACTGTGGGGAAAGCTCTTCACTCAATGAACTTTTATGTTCATATTGCCTGCAAAAAGCCTTTTTTAGATCGTGAACAGAAGTGTGATCGCTTGCAATAGGCTCAAGAAAGACGACATTGGAACAAGTTTGATTAGAGGAAAAAAATCTTTACTGATAAGATGAAGCTCACTATTGGGCAAGGAGGAGGGCGATCTCTCGTTTGGCATCTACCTGAAACTGCTCTCGAAGATTGCTATCTTGAGCCTTCTTTTCCTGATGACAAGACTACGGTCATGTTTGCTGCTGGTTTCACCTATGGCTTTCATACTCCACTGATTCCTATCCATCAGTGAACTGAGAATGAGAGAGAATGTGCTAGGGATTGACTGGATATGAATTCAGTACAGTATTGTCAAGAGATTTACACACCTCACTTTCTTCCTTTGTATGAGCTATTAGGTGAAACTGATAATGATATTGAAATGGTTGAAGACAATTCCCATGTACATAATTCTCACCATTCACAGAGGTATCGGATGCTACTGGGGGTTGTTCGGATACCATGGACTTCTTTGTCTCCGGACATGAATCCTATGGAGAATGTTTGATCTTTCTTTGGATGAAGGTTTCAAGAGGCTTGCCAGGCAGCCAAGAGATGCCCCTACAACAGAAAAGATATCATTGAGCTGGTGCAGGCTGTTTGGAAAGCAATGCCATAGAGAAGAGTATATTGTTTCATTAATAGTATGCTGGGGAGGATTATCACACTTATTTGGAGACATGAGGAACACACTAAGTGGTAAATGTAACTTGAGAGCAGTCAGTTTCTTACTATCTTTGTTTTTTATTTTTTACTTTTATTGTTATTTGGGAAATGAGTTTTATTTTATGATTTCATGATGTCGTCGAGATGGGCCAAGCCTTGTGTCCTGTTACCACCTGTGCGCAGCTGTACAACAAAGTTCCTTAAAAGGTATTTGAAAAAAGATTCTTAGAACTTGAAAGATCTAAGAAAATATGATTAATTTCACATACTATTACTTGTATCATAGTAATCCCTCGTTATGATTACTGAAATAATTGTATAGAAAATTGTATAGAAAATTGTAAAAAATTATATAAAAATTAATTTTAGTATAGGAGGTTACAGAAGTTGTAGTATCAAAGCATGCTTCATAATACTATATCCATTATCACTGTCTGTTCAAACAAAGCCTATTTATAGAATATAGGAGAGGAGACCTTAGGGTGTATCTGAAAAGTAGAATGGAGTCAATCAGACAGGTAACTGTGGAGCTACAGGCTAAGAGATATAGACCATCTTAAACATAGTCTGAAACTGATAAGACAAAATCACCAACAGTCCTACAGGTTATCAGGATATACCCATAAAGATAAAGCATATGGTTTAGTCTATTACTTGTACAGAATTGAGCTAACTGAAAGCCTATCTCCAGTTGAGGAACTTTTCTATGACTTTGATTAATCTAATTGCTGTAGGGAAGTTCTTAGAGTTGATGTAGTCATATTGTAAAGTCAATAATACATTAATAAGTCTCTCGACAGAGCTGATTACTTTAGTCAGAGAGTAGAGAACTGTAAGTTGGCTCAAGTAGAGAGGCCACTCACCTAACTGAAACCTCTGAATCTAAGACAAAGAAATTATAAGCTTTTCATTAGAGAGACTCTAAAAGGCCTTACAGAAATAATAATAGCTTACAGAGACTATAGTTTAAGTAAGACAAATGATTTCAAGGTTAAACAAATTCCCATTACAAAAGGCAGAGATGGAAATAGTAGAAGGTATATTGTTTAGTATTAGATAGATATAGCTCATAACTACTCAGATACAGAATACAAATATTGAGATATCTTCCTAGCTTTCAAAATGGTCAGCAAACAGAGAAGAGATCCTGACAGTAACTTATTAATACCATAAAAACTCGAATAAAGAGACCATGTACTGCGTAGTCCAAAATTTCCTCCTCTGGAAAAGGATTCAATTATACACCAAAAAACATGGTTTCTGGGACAATTAAAAAAGAAAAAAAAACAGCAGACCTTACCGAGAGAGGTAAGTCCAATGTCCTAGCACATGGTCCATTTATTCGAGTTTTTACGGTATATTCATTATACTTTAATACATACCTTTTTTACTACAAGCTTTCTGGACCATTCTCTAAGAAACCTTACTGGCCATAGTTATAATTCACTTAACCTTAGAATTAGCTACCACCTAACAATAGCCTATACAAGAAAGAAGGCAGCTGGTTTTTTTAAAAAAAGGCAGAGAAACAAGTGATTTCGGAGAAACAAAATATTAAACTAGTACACTGGCATCATACTGCCACCCTTGTTACCCAGAGCACTTTTTCCTAGTCACTAGCTTGGAGTTTCCGGCTACCTTTCTCTGCCACCTACCTTCCTTGATTTGATCCTCCAGGATCACTTCCTCCTATCCCTGCTGCCAGGCCCTAATTGCCCCCACCGTTCTGCTATATCACAATTACTAGTAGATTAGTAGGTCAATGATGTGCTGTTCCAGGTATCCCTCAGGATGTAATTTCTGAGCTGGGTATGACTTTGGCTTCAAGTTTGGTCTTTAGGTTGTTACTTTGTGTAGGATTTAGGTATTAGTTCTGGGATGGTCGGTTTCCGGTAGCGTTAGGATTTTAGTTTTTTTGTGCACTTTCCTCCTACACGCTGTCTTTTTTCGCCTTGCCAGTCCAGCCTTATGCGATTTTTTGTACTGTAAACAAAATAAATATGAGTCTTCTTCTACCCTGCTACGTGAGGTATCATGCCGTGTTCGAAAACCCCGCTCAGATTGAGCGTATCGTTTCCTACACCCTTTCTTGGCCGGGGGGAACCCGCCCAGGGTCAAAAAAAAAAGGATATGTGGAAGGTTGGTTATGGCATGATACGATACATAGGACACCTCAAGCAAGTATAGGAGACTCCCGACAAATTTCTTTCTTTCTTTCTTTCTGCCGGGGGGCGGGAGACGGAATCCGCGATCCATATCAACACCAACCGAAAATGAACAAACAAACACTCCCGGGAGGATTATCCCGCGACGCTTGCGGTACAGCACGCGGTTGTGATACAAAAATACCGGAAAACACGATTTGTTCACTATAGCGCTTCCAAATCCGTGAATGGTAGTATTGCATAGTGAGTAAATAAACAGGAAGGAAGAGATAAACCCCATCCCCAACATATCAAAACTAGGTGTCATGCACTATACAAAAAAAAAAACCCCCCTCTGAGGAACAAGTAGGGAACAAGGAATCGCGATTTCTATGCGTATCGATGAGATGCTTCGCAATATCGAGTCGGGTCGCCAACCGTGTACTAAATCTCCGAGTTCCCCGCAGAGTGCTATGGTTGATACGGCCAGTGGAGAGAAGGGACGGGGTTGATTTGCGGTTTCTCACGGGTCATCACTCGATGGGCGAGTGATTGTTTATGTTTGCGGTCTGGTTTGTTGGGAATCTAGTCGTTATATGATACTTCCAACTAGCTGCCGTATCGTATATCTCTCTATCCTGCCAATCATGAACTCCCCCGCCCCCGGAGACCTTGTCCCCCCTTCTTCGCTCCCCTCTTCCTTCCGTTTTGAATCCCAGAGACAAGAAAAAGTAAAGCACGCAAGAAGAAAAAAACAAGCCCGATGGTAAGAAATGAAAAAGAAAAAAACAGTGGAGTATGCCCTCCCTCGCACCCCGCGACTGCCAACCCTACTTAACAGTACTGACCAAATCCCTATACATGCCCTTCAAATCAAGCACATCCTGGCGCAACTCATCCACCATCTCACTCTTCTCACCGAGCATCTCAAGCGTGCATTCCTCCCTGCGCTTGAGCTCCTCGATCTCGCTCTCCAGTTCCTTCACACGCTTCTCTGCCTCGTGACTGCCCTCTATTTCACGGACCATGTCGGCCATCTCCCTCCGGGCATCATCCCGCTGCGCCTGTGCCGTTTCCATCTCCTCACGTATAGCCGCTAACTCCGACTCCAGCCGGCGGATGGTGGAGGACATGAGCTCTACCAGCTGTACGGATGGGCCCGTGGCAATGGCCGACACGGAGATCATGTCTGGATGGCGCGCGAGGGATTGCGGGTACGGGGATGCCGGGGATTGGTAGGTGTATGGCCCTGTGGAGGTGGTGGCGGCGGGGTTTATGGGGGTCTCGTAGATGTCGATGGGGACAGCGTCAGGGTCTCCCTGCTCTGGGTCGGTAATTGGTTGTGTCGTAGTGATGTTTTGCAGGGAGGTGCGAGAGGAAGAGCTGTGGATTGGGAGGGAGTCCTGGCGGATAGAGGGTGGAGGGGTGCTAAAGCCTCGGCAGGGTGGCGGTGGCGGCAATTGCCCAGCGGATGCGATTAAACCTAGACCCTCCGGAGTAATTGGTGTTTCCAAGGGCGCTGGAGAGCGGGAGCTTTCACGACGGCTATTATTGCCAGAACCCAGGAAGTAGCTTTCGCTAGTGGATAATGGGCTCATGGACTTCCTTATCGAATGCGCAGACGTGAGCGGTGGAAGTGAAGCTTGAGGTGGCGGTGAAAAAGCGCGAGAGGCTTCGATCCATTTGGTGCGCTCTTCTTCCAGACGCGTTTGCAGCTCCTTCTGCCAGTTCTCCCGTTCTTTAGAAAGAGTAAGGTTCAGTGCAGAAATCTCCTCAGTGTGCTCTTTCTTGAGCTTTCCCAGTTGCTTCTTCAACGATGTGAGTTCCGTCTCCAAGTTGCTGACTTTAGACTGTGAAATTTCAAGGTCCATCTCGAGGGTTTTGGATTTTGCACTCTACAAGAAAGGTAAGCGTGTATTTCTAGGCAGGGGCGATTGATTATACCAATTCTCTGGCTCTCCTCCGCACCTCCGCTTCTTTCTTAGTCAACTCGTCCCGCTCCTTCTCCAGGTTTGAAATCTGGCCCAGCATGCTCCCCTCAATACCCTGCCAATTCTCATTGGCGATGGCATACTGCGTCTGCAGAGTTTCAACCTTCCGTAAAAGCTTCGCATGGGCGTCCCCTGAAGCTCCGCTGGAAACCTCTTCAGCTCTTGCTCTCAAAGCCTCCATCTTGCCTTCCATCACCTAGAGACCCAAATCAGTCATAGCCCACGACCGCCCGAGTTATATGATAACGCACAGATTGCTCTCCCCTCAACTCCTTCTCCATTATTCTCGCCCTTTCAGCGTCCCTTTCCATCTTAGTCCTCAAATCCCGGACTTCGCTTTGCAGTCTCTCCTCAACCAACGCAGCTTCACTCTGAACTCTCTCAACCTCAGTCTTCAATTCAACCGTGACCTTCCGCTCCTTCTCAAGCGCTTCGGTCTGGGCTCTGCTCTCCGCATCTTCCGCCCTATCCGTAACCTCCTCAAGTTTCCCCTTAAGCTCGGCAATGATCATTGCAGAACCTTCCTTCTCCCTCTTGAGGCCTTCCACCTCACCCTCAAGTCTCACGGCCCCCTTAGCCCTCTCAGTGGCCCTCTTCTCATCCTCCACAGCACGCTTAGCTTTCTCTTTAGCATCAACAGCTTCCTTCTCCGCCCTCTCCGCGCGCTTCTTGGCCTCCGCAGTAGCCCTCTCCTCCTCCTGCGTCTTGGTGCGGAACTTCTTAATTGAATTCTGCAACTTCAACTCATTCTTGCTCAGCTTCTCCCCCTCCTCTAGCAGAAGCGCAATCTTCTCTTGGGCTTCCGCGAGCTTCTTTTCCAATCCTGATGCTGCGCCATTGGCCTTTTGTCTGCACGCCTCGGCGGACTCGCGCGCGAGGTAGCGGATCTTGTCCTCTAGTGCATCAATGCGCTCCGCCGCAGCGTGTGATTCCTCCTGTCGCCGGGCTTCGCATAGCGCTAGGTCCTCGCGGAGGAGGGTGATTGTGCTCTCTAGGGCTTCATATGAAACGCCGGTCTGGCCGTTCGTTTCTAGTGATCCGCGCGGGGATATGATTATTTCCGGGGGAGGGGGGAGAGCCGGCGGTGGGTCGGCCGTGGGTTTTGATGCAGTGGAGTCTGTGGATGAGCGCACGGGCAACTCCTCTAGCGCTGTTGCAGGTGGCGGTGGTGGTTCGGGTTTACAGTCACTACTGCCCCCTCCACCACCTTCCCCACCATCGACTTTGTCTTCACCCTGGTCCTTTGGTGATTCCACCGGCTCCCCATCTTCGATTCCGGGACTCCGGCTCCGGCCCCGCTCCCCCCGAGCTGTCGCGGCTGCTAATCGCTCCTGTAGACTTACCCTCCCAGCTAATTCCCTCATTCCATTAGCCTCCTGAAAACCTCCAACAACCCGTAAACAAACATACCTTTCACAGCAACAGTATTCGCAACTCTCTCCTCAGCTTTCGTCGGCTGTAACGCCAGCTGGGGCGGTGGCGGTGTAGTACTTGTTTGTCCCCCGGGTTCATCCAACAACACTTTATCCAGCCGGCTCTCCAATCCCGCAAGCCCCTTCTGTAGGAAATTCATCCTCTCTCTCTCGCCCGTTCCGGATGCAGGTCGCTATTGTGCCGTGTCCAGCACCGTCAGCGGCGATCAGGTAAGTGCGTGCGGTATGTAAGGATAGGTTGGATGACTGCGAGGTATTTTCTTGGCAAGGTTGAAAACGTGAGGTTTCCAGAATTCAGTGACACGAGTGGTGAAGTGGGGGGGGTGTGTGAAAGGTTGTTATTTTTAGAACGGGTGTTCCTGAGTTGACTTCCTGTCGGCTATCACTTGCGCACGGGTACACTGCTGGTACTTTGTCTGGTACGGTAACCGGTATTCGTACAGTACAGCACCGCACCAGCACACGGGTACCCTACAAACTTGATGGAAAAGCTTTGGGATTTTTTTATTAATGGGATAGCACAGTAAAATACCGGCATGAGCGGAAGGGATTCATGACGGCGATAGTATGATATAGACACAGTGCCGATGGTGGTAGATAGGAAGCTAAAGGTTCCTCTTAGGAGGGGATCAGTCTTGGCTGTTCGTTAATGAAGACCCTCCCCAAGAGTTCCCGATGAGTGCCGGTAGAAATTAAAGACCGTCAATGTCAACACTTGCAAGAAAACCCCGCTCCCGGTGAATGGGCATCATGAAATAATGAAATACAGTACCTCAAGTCATGCGGTGCTCTATATAGGCAATCATACTGGTGGTTATGAAGGAGCTGCCTTACTGTACAGCGCGCATATTCGCCAACCTTTTTCAGGTTATCATACCGATATTCTCTCTAATGATGTGCAAACCACGGATTACATTCTTTCGTATACCGATAAATGTCTATTCCCGAAACTGCAAGCTACTTCCCACAGCACAGGTCACATAAAGTACCGCATAATACGGGGACTATTCCAATCTTACGGGTGCTGTGGTGTGGTCCATCATTTCCGTGAAGCAAGGGCCGCAAGGCAGCAGTGCCCTGTGAGTAATAAAGCATCCAAAAAGCCAACTATGGGCGAAAAGTAGAAGAGGACGAAAATAGAAAGAAAATCCTCCAAAAAATGCCGCACCAGCTGCTATGGCAATACCGTACCCCGCTCCCGGTGACGCGTCGTGGGTAGACCCGGCGGCACCCCCGGCAGGCCCGGTACACCATGCCATATCATCCCACGATATCATACACTCATGCCTTTTTCATAACCTCCCCATTCGGCCCTGAAACCCTATTCCCAACTCCATTCGTTTTCCCGTTCACACCCAGTCCCTTCCTCCTCCTCCTAACGACGGGCAAACTCCACACCCTATTCCAATCACACACGTACTCCCCCTGCCTCCCATCTAGACAGGACCTGAGCCAGATTCCATAAACAATGTAATAGTACGCTCCCCAACCCGTGAGTAGATGCCACCATCCGTGACCCTCCAGCAGCCACCCCCATGGCATGCCCACCTCTCTCCTCGCCAGCCGCAACTGCGAGCAATACGCATTATCCGCGTTCCAGAGCAGGAACCCACCCAGGAAGAAGCTCAGGCCGTAGCGTATCATCGACCACATCTGGGTCACGGTTGCCGATTGCGTGCTCCGAAGGCGGGTTTCCATCAGGTACCAGGAGCGGCAGAGGACTATAGTGGTTAGGAGGGCGTAGGCATTTTGGTGGAAGAACGGGTCTTGCAGGTGATGGTAGATTAGGGTTATCGAGCCGGCGATCGTGAGGAGGAAGAGGCCGAGGAGGGTTTGGATTGTGGTGGTGTGGCCGTAGCCAAATGTTGCTGTGGGAGATGTCAATTTATGTATCATATAGGGGGGGAGGAGAGGGAGGAGGCTACCCCAACACATCAAACAAGTAGTATAAATCATACTGAGTTCGTCGACTAGCTGCATCGAATCTGAACCCCTACACCATCAATAAACCGCACCACCACAATACAAGTAAAGCCCATCCGAAGAGGGCGGGGGTCCTACACCACAACGTAGCATGGAACAAGAAACTCCCACAGCCGACAAGCAAGTACCCCAAAAAGGTAATCAAAAAGATCCTATCATGTCCTTCAGAAATGCAATTCCTGAGCCCTTTCCAACCAAGGTAAATAAACATGCCATTTGTAAGGGTATTGACGATTTCCGCGCAATCTATGATCTCTCCTCGCATCAGCCCTATGAAGTAGCCCGGACCTCGTAGTAGAAGTAGCACTCACAAGTTGTGAGATAATAGTCCTCCTCGCACCAACTAAACCGACAATTGTCAATAACCCACCAAGCAATAACCCACCAAGTACAGCAGTGGGGGGAGGGAAAGAAAGAAAGAGGAGAATACTTCAAAGTAGCAGTTTCGGGTCCCCATCGATGAGCCTTCTCCGGCCCATACGGAATACTCCACATCCACATCCTCACTTCCCCTCTCAAAAGCGGTTCAGGAAGCGTACCTCGGGGGAGGGGATTAGAGATTACTACACCCTAATTCAAGCAAAGAAGAGGAAGAAAAAGGAAAAAGGTGCACTTTAAAGACTCTCCAGAAGCCAAAAACAGTGTCAATCCAATCCAATCCGTCGGCTTCACTTCCTTCCTTCCTTCCTCCCTTCCCTCTCTACTTCTCTATTTTTCTCCACCCTGCCGGCTCGCTCGCTCGCCTTTCCCTCTCCTTCCAGCTAGAAAAAAGACCGAACTCGGCTTACAAGAGCCACAAAAGTGTCTTATGATAAGATAGGGTAGGTATAATAGGTATCGTAGCGCACCAGCCCGCTGATACGGTAGGGTAAGTGGGTGGGTAGAACAAGTAAAATATATAGAATCCAAAGATATAAAAAAGGAAAAGAGAAGAAATCCCCCGTTTATTGTAATGTAACGTACGAGTATTGTAAGTGTGAACAACGATCCAAGAATTATTTCAGTTGAGTAGAGCAAGAGCTTTCGGGGAGCCCGAAAATTAGGGGGAGAGAGTATGCGTGAGTGAGAGAAAGGTTAAGGGAGGGTGAGGGAGGAACGGATATAGGGGCTATTCAAACGATCTAGATAGAGAAAAAAGTGGCCGGTCCTTTCTTGCAGGAGAGATGGGATGGGATGGGATGGGTGGATGGTAAAAGAGGAAGGATCGGGACTGCTTGCCCGGTCAGAATTTGACGAGAGCTCAACAAATAACTCAAGAAGGAAGAAGGAATCCCTGTGATCCCACCGAGGTATTATGATACCGGCACTGTGTTGCGGTTTTGGTGAGGAAAAAAAAAGAAATGACACGGGGAAGCTTGGGAGAGGTGGGGTGAAGAAGCCGTAGAGGAAAAAAGATGATCAAAGGCGGGAGCCGCAATGATGCAGGTGTTATGATACATAACTCACAGCATGATAATCCTCACTGCACTCGAGTACCGGTATTAGGTAGGTGCCACCGAGGACAAGGTCCGCAGTAGGGTGGATGGAAATATTTGCATGGGGAAATTAACATCTACCGTACTCGAGCAAGGGAATCATTCTGCACAGCACAAGCAACCTTGGCCGAGCTATGATCAACACCATCATCATCATGATAAAAATAAGTTGGAAAATGTTCTGCCATATGCAAGTAAATCTAGACATCGTATTGCGCAGTATGCATAACCCATACACTACTTTCTACCTCATCCATGCAGGTATATAATAATAACAATAATAATAATAAACTGGAAGAGTTGAATTCTCCCTCCTCCACCGCCAGTAATAAAAAACCCTGTTCGGAGCAATTGTTAAAAAGCATGCCCAAACTCCTGACGTACCGCCTGCCCACCGCAGACCCCACCTCCTACCTATGCTACCCTTCTCTCCCACCGCGAAGCCTCCGTCTCGCTTGATACTGATCGAAGGAATGGAGGAATTAGGTCGACTTCTTCGCTCTCTCGCGTTCGCGCTTGGCATATATTGCACCAGTGAATGGACTGTTTACAGTCAGTCACCGTTTATCCATGCACGATCACGATTCATAAAAGAAAAATTGGGTGCAGGGACGACAGGGGAGGGAGGAATGGCGTACTCCTCAAACATGAGGGCGATCTTATAAATGACGAACACCTCGACCGTCAGGAGGAGACCGGCGGGTTTTGCGAACCTGGGGAGTTTGGCAACCTGATCAGCAAAGACGAGCGTGATACGGGAGTGAGGGGAGAATTTGGCACTATTACTTACCAGAGCGCACTTCCCAAAAACGCGAGGGTAGACCCATAGTACATCGGTGCATCCGTAACGTTGAACGGAAAGCTGGTTACGCGGTGATCCATCAGAATGCCAAAGTAGTCACCTTTGCCGACCCCATCCTCATCGTTAGCGCACCGTAGGTCTCTCCCTCAACAGAAAGCAAAAGGGAAGAAAGGGGAAAAGAGACAAACCAAGATAAGTCCCCGTAAACCCCAACGCCCACATGGACGTCAGAACTAAAACATTCCCGCAAAAGAACAATGCCGCCGCCGCAAGCTTCACGGCATCAGTCTGGAGAGCCTCCAACGATGGCTGCTGCCGCAATGCCTGCTCGTAAAGAAAGTCCCTAAAGATCCCAATTCCAAAGATCACAGCTGCAAGGAAGTAGCAGCCGTAGCGGGAATTGCCTCCAAAGAGTTTGGTTAGAACCTTGTTGTGGTACTCTTGTCGGGCGACGACACTGTGTTCCCCCGTCAACGGCCGGTCTGATCGAGCAAAGGAAAAGAAAAATGGATCATACTTCCAGAAAATAGGATTAAAAGCAATTGAACCCGCCGCAACTATTTATTCTCGTCAATTGAATTGGTTACTGCTTAGTGCGGAAGAATGACTGGAAAATCAACTACTCACCTAGCAAACTCTTCTGGTCGAAATCAACCAGGTCCATCACCGACGAGTTCGCAAATAGTGTTGTAGACATTGTTCTGGGTGGTTACCCAGCGAGGGAGATTATTAGGATTAAGGGGTATCGAGAGCTTGGTAATAGTAGGAATGAAGGTCGGTTTTTTAAAGCAAAATATCCCCAGGGCTGTGAGACGTCACAGGACAAGCTGAGTTGGGACCTGAAAATCAGAGGGTTAGGGCTTTAGGATGTAGAGCCGCAGTGGTTGGCCAGCAGGGCCTTGTGAGCAACGTGTTATTTGTGAGAATCACCCCCGGACACCCCGGGTATGATATTTCATGGGGTGATGACATGTGTTTTCACAGGAGGTCACTCGCAGAGAGCCCGGAGAGGTTGTTCAATAGGTTAAATGCGTTACCAGACTAAACGGATAGTGCGAGTAACTCCAGATGCCACCCCAATACATGGCCATTTATAAAGTATTCGGACACCTTCGCATTATTTGCACCTGTCTGGGTGCCAGGCGTCCGAATACTTTATAAAATGGCCAAGCGGACTCTACTCGAGTACCGGTACTGTAGCACTCACAGGCACAGCAGTGCCTCGCCAGAACGGACCACGATGTACTGAGCACCTTGCTATAACAAATGGGTTCTCTAGAAATTCAACTCCACTATGCAAAAAACCTCACTGCGATGGAAAATCACTGCTGGGTTCAAATGAGTTGTTCTGACATCAACCCCGTGTACCCATACAAGATCCCCCCGGTATAGTAAAAGAAGGAAAGAAAGAACTGTAAATAAGAAGTTAATGAAGTAGATTCGTAGATGCTTTGGTAATGCCACAAAAGTATGCTGAATGCAATTGAGACCTCCAGGTTTCCCCCCCTTGATATGACACCCTTTTTGCCATGATATCAACCTTTCAACCAAGACCCTCCCTCCTGGTCCAACATGTCGACCAAAATCTCATGTGTGATGGCCGTCACTCAGAGCCTGTTTGGCACGCTAGGATTAGACCAGGATTTGGACTTAAAGTCCGGACTTTATAAACCGGCCGTACCAAATCTGACAGTATTTAAATTAGGACTAATGCCTTTCGCCCCCTCTGTGACTGTTTTTTTTAGAGAAAATCATGATATAAGATCCTGACTTAATCTTGGTACGAAGGTCTAGTCAAAGTCCTGGCCTACCAAACACGATTAGACTGAATGTCCAGACTCAGGAGACAGTCTGGATTTTAAGTCCAAATCCTGGCTTACCAAACAGGTAGACCGCACCCAAGTCCCCCCCCCCCCCCCTTCGAGGGACTCCAACCAACCAACCAATCAACAGTTCACCAACCATACCTTTGAACCTCCGGCACGAGTGATATTACATGATCACGCTTGGTATGTCAACGGACGGACCGACAAAACGAATGACCCTTACTACCTCAGCATATCATACTCCGCCAGATCGCGCACTCAGCCCCTGTTAGAATGCATACCCCGTCCATTGGTATGATGCCCATCAGAGCGTAGCTATCGATCTATCGACAACTCCAAACCCCAATTCCAGTCCCAGCTGCGTAGTCCAACCGCCACATCGGAACGGACCAACAAACCTACCACTTAACAAGCGGGTAGACAGGAAGGTGTGTTGTATATGTTAGAATTTAGCACCGGACTGAAAATTATGGGCGGAGCTCCGTGTACCACTGTTTGTAGCCAGACACAGAAATAGAATAGACTGGAACGCACTGATCACTATTCAAGCTGTTCGTTTCATGTGAGTGAGATCGGGTGTTTGGGGATTTCCGGTTTCGATTGATTCGGCTTTTTGGGCCTTTAGCGGACGCTGGATATGCGTGCTGGGTGTGTGTGTTGAGCTGGGATCGGGGGTGGCGCGGGGGGGGGATGAGAATGCCACTGAGATTCAAAGGTATCTAGGCAAAATCAAGCACACCCGGGGCTCCATGTATATAGAGACTCGTCCGCTGTGTGTATTTTGCGGCCGCTTGCTTCGTGAGGCCCAGCAGATTAAGGGGCCAAGTGGAGGAGACTGCGGGAATTAGCGACCGTGAAAGGTGATAGAAATACTAAAGGTAGATTTTCTGAGGTGATTCAGGCGTTCTGGGAGCTCCATCGTAGATACACACGCAAGAGCGCTGTGCGACCACCTCGAGTGCATCGATTTACGATAAACTCTCACTTCACCAGTTCCAGTAGACCTACCCCTGGTTGAACCACAGAACCGTCGCTCGAATACAAATAAAATTCACTAACCAGCCCGGTATCAAAAGCAAGCAAGCATGATCATCACGAAAGAGCAACATCAATCCCCTCTTCCTCCGCCATTCTCAAAATCCACTTACGCACCGTAGCATCTGGCGCCAATTCTATGGCAAGTTTATCCTCCGAGTCCCTAGCGCTCGAGTCTGCGCCCATCCTCAACAACTCCAACGCGACGTCACCGTTGCCCTCCGCAATCGCATGGTGCAGCGGGGTCATCCCACTGTGGTCCTTTGGGCCCACCGACGAGCGGTTTTCCAGCAAGAGTTTCACCATAGGGAGGGAGCCGGCGGCGGCAGCGCGGTGGATGGGCTGTTGCCCGCGGGTATCGGCCGTGCGCGTACTCGCTTTGTACGGTGGGGAGAGGAGCTTGCGGGCTGCTGAGAGGCGGGATTTGGAGGCGCAGAAGTGGAGGGGTGTCTATCATATGGGCATGTCAGTCGCTGAATTAGGTCGGGCCAGGCCAGGGGGAGAGAGGAAGGGATAAATTACTTGTCCGCCGTTAGCTGCGATACCGAGTTGGAGCGAGGAGTTAGCTCAAGTTAGGTCATCAGAGTCCTTATACGAATTAAGCCAAAAGCGACATACTTTTGAGATTAACATCCGCCTCCCTTGACAGTAACAAGTCCACCATCTGGTCCCCGTCCTCAACACTCACCGCGATCATGAGCGGCGACCACCCGGATCCATCCTGGGCATCTACGTCAAACCCCTTCTGCTGCGTAAGGAGCTGCACGATAGGAAGGCGATTGTATGAGCAAGCCCAATGTATAGGCAAACGATCATCGGAGTCCCGACGGTATGCTAATTTGGGGTTTGCCTCCAGCAGAGATTCCACTTGAGATACTTGTTTATTCAGCTCCTCATGTTAGTACGGGGTTGATAGAGGACAAAGACAGCTTTTCTCCTCCCCAGGTCAGTTTTCTCCTTCTCCCTCCGGGTCATGGACTGGAGTGAGGAGTAAGGGGGCGGGGAGTGGAGAGATGTGCTTACAGCTGCCTTGTCTGCAAGCCTCGTGAATAGCTTCTTTGTTCTCCTCTTCCATGGTTTTCGGGGGCGATATCGTAGTGAGGATCAAGATAACGACAAGCTATGATATGACAGGTGCGGGTAGATTTCAACTTCCGTTGCTTGTGTGGAGAGTCCCGGCTTGGCGATTCGGTGAGATATGGCGTCATACGGTCACAGTCAGAGGCTCAGAGCAGAGCAAGGTACGAAAATTACCCGGCTTTCTGTCCTTTTTTTTTTCCTTTTTTCCTCTTCCCGGCCAGGGGCAAATGAAAAGATCAGACCAAGAAAATGTAACTACGCATTTATATTTCCCGACTCGGTTAGTCCAGCGCATCGATTGCTTCATTAGGCACAAGAAGATTGGGCGGTGCACAGTGAGGAAGAGCTGCCTTGAAGGACTCCGACACGATCAGGGCGTGTCCGAGCCTTCCATTCCTTAACCAGTTCCTCTTTTCCCCCTCTTCGAGCTTTCGCTGTTGAGTGCACAGACAAGCTTTACTCCATTTTACGCTTCATTCCAATCCCAAAGCTAGAGGCTAAGAACAGCAAAGACAGTATGACTACCAACCACCTCTCGAAAGCTGCCCCGGTTACGAAGAAGTATGCAGCTATCTTGTTCGATTTGGACGGTAAGCCCAGTCTGTAAGAGGAGGCGCCCAGGGTACGTTGTAAAGTTCGTGACTGATTTGCCATGTGAACACTAGGTACCCTGATCGATTCTACGCCTGCGGTTATCGCACACTGGAAACAGTAAACACCTCCCCTCCCAGTAAAAAGTCAGACCACCAGACGAAGGAAGAATTCTCATTCCCGTGTAGGTTTGGAAGAGACCATGGCATCGACCCGGCTTTGATCCTTGCCACATCTCACGGACGGCGGACAATCGACACCGTCAAACAGTGGAAACCAGAGCTTGCAAGCATGGACTGTAAGAACCCCACGCCAGCATGCCAAGGGGGCTAAGGGGGGGATTGCGATTAATTGCATGTCACAGATGTCCGTGAGGTCGAAGGCCGGATCCCGAAAGAGCATGCAGCGGATGCGAAGGAACTGCCCGGTGAGTAAGAAAATGTTTTGTTATCCAATAGACCTGACGGGCAAATTTTAATAACACACCGAATGCGCCTCCTCCCCCCGGGAGCTGCATTTGGGGAAATTCAGGTACCAGAACATTAGTGTCGTCGCTTGATAAGACGGGAGCAAAGTGGGCCATCGTGACCTCGGGAACCTCTGCCCTTGCAGAACCGTGGGTCAAGGTATGATTTCTATTCTTAATTCTCGTATCCCTCCAAGCCATGAAGTCATAACTGCCCGGAAATTTCCCGGAGCTCAGTTCCAAGTGAATCCCAAAGAGCCGAGCGTGACTTACCGGTCAGTTCTGGAACTGAAAAAGGGACAAGGATGCGTCGCCTGGTTTCGCGGTCATGAAAGACATTTCAAGATTGTGGTTGGCTGACAAAACGCTCGGACGTATCCAGCTTATGGGGCTCCCACGTCCAGAAGTTTTCGTGACAGCCGACAAAGTTGTCAAGGGAAAGCCAGATCCGGAAGGTACACCCCCCCTACTCCCTCCTCGTTACGATGCCGTATTACCGTGCCATGATTATTGTCACTCTCGATTGCCGAAATATCAGTGCGCTGAACAAAGTTGTGAAGGCTATCTCCTGGCCCGTGAGCAACTAGGTCTTTCCGATGCCACAGAGTCTCTCGCAGACGTGCTCGTAGTAGAAGACGCACCCGCCGGGATCCGTGCTGGGAAGGCAGCCGGCTGCGACGTCCTCGCGCTGCTCACCACACACTCACGTGAAGAGGTCGAGGCCGCGGGCGCAGACTTTGTAGCCGAGGATTTGCAAAGCGTGGAGTGGCTGGGGAAGGAGGAGGATGGGGTCTTGCTTTTGATAAATCCCACTCCCCCACCGACGGCCCTTGTGCTCTCATTGGGGGTGAACCTGATCAGCAAAGTGGTGCCCAGTTAGATGGAAGGGGGGGGGGGGGACGTTTCCACAGTCCCCAACCGGGGGAGGGCACGGCGAAAAACCAGCTGGTGATGATCGGGGATCAGTGGCAGGATTATTTTACTCTCTTTGTTACCCTGCCTTGATGAATTCAAGTCACACTCTTTCTTCTCTTTTTGCCTACCGGTATGATAGCAACTAAATTAATACTCCTATTTGTTCGTCACCTGCTGGTTCTCATCGTGCCCCAGCTGCATACCGTAATTGAGAAAGGGGGAGGAGAGAGAGGCAAAACCTGTGGAATCTCTCTCATGTACGGGCACCATGGGCACTCGAGCACTATACCGGTACGAGTAAGTTTATGTGTCTTGAGTGCAGCAACAAAGTGCCACAGTATGAAAGGCCACCTTTTTTTTTCTTTTCTTTTTTTCTGTACGCCTAAATGATTACTAATTCTGTCGCCGGGGGTGAGCTCGTTACCGGTGTGGGGGTGTTCGATGCCTACCCCTTAGATGGATGGTGTGTTGACCATGCACGCCCGTGAAGAGAAAGATGACCGGAACCCTACTTGCTATCACGGGAGATTGAGCAGGTAGACTTGACTCTGGGTAGATAAAAGATAATAGAGCTGACAAGCAGAAAGAGAACTGAGGAGAAGGGCCAACCTCCTAGGTGAGGACTGGTGATTGAGTTGAGAGCCATGAGGAAGGTTGTTTTCTCTATCTACCGCGCAAACATGAAAGTCCTCCTCCAAATACCGCAAGTTGTGCATGCCAAGCTATCTACTACTGTGCAACCATTGTGCGTGCAAACCCCCCCCTGTGACTGCCAAACTATCCTATTGTCGCCGCCCCCTACACCGGTACTTGTACCGACCGGTCTTGGTCCGGCGACCGCTGCTCTATCTGGGTGTCCAACTTCAACTCGGCCGCACGAGTAGACTATGTATCGTAACTTCTGCAATCCTCTGGTGGAAAACTAGGGAGACTTGGTGAGTACTGTACAGTACATCAGACGTCACGAGACCTCTGCAGACGCTAGCGTAGTGAGCAGAAATTGCCCCCTCCGGTCACACTGGAACTGCAGGATTTTTCCCATTTGTCATACTGTTATTAACTATTAAGTTTGGTTCTAACTTATATGTACTAGTATGATACTTACAATAAACGCTTCCATCGCGGGAGAAACCAATGTAATCACCCAATATCATAAAACTTACAGTACTGCAAACAATGTAGGAGAAGATCTCTTCCAATGGTGATATCACTCTTGATACCACCATCATGAACACTATACGAGTACTATGACCCCTCTCCTAAGCCATCCATCCGCCCCACCTCGCAAGCGAAACTTAACCTCGATAAATCCAAGGGAGAAACATCCAACAGCTCGCACATTCCAAAAGAGCCAAGGAAGGGGGTGCAGATTGCGTGAAGTGAACACTCGGTAAATGGTGGAAATACCAGTACCGGTACTATACGACCGTACTGTACAGACCCTCGCATGCTCATCTCCCGAGTTCGATCGCGCAGCCAACATCCCTTCCTCCTCTCCTCTCCACGGCGCTGGAATGGTCATCTCTCCCCCTTCCTGTTCTACAGGTACCGGCACCGCACCTATCCAGGCACATTGCCGTCAACACAAGCATCGCCGAAATCCAGGGATGACCGGATCGGTTCAGCTACCGGTACGGTACCGTACCGCAAAGGCAAGGCAAGGCAAGGCAAGGCATGCACTCGACTCATCCTTTAGGGGGAGCACAGGTAAAAAAGGTAAATACCAAACGGGTCCGAACGTCCCTTTGGGGGGGGATACCGGTAGCGTATTCGTAGAGTTTGAGGGGTTGCAGGGGATAAGGTTTGTCTGTACTCGAGCAGAGTACCGTAAGCGATCCGTGACTAGTACGAGCAGGATACGGTACTAGTAGTGTACGAGTACTCGAGTACAATGGGGTACAAGTTCGCGTAGCTGGGGGGCTACCGGTAGGCATGCCCTCGCTTGCGATCGGATCAGGCTTGGGTTTACGGCTCACTACATGTCATGGTACCGGTACCGTTATCGTATAATTCGTATTATCGGGTGTTGAACGAAACGAAACGTCCGAGTCATTCCCATTCACTCCGCTCCGCACCGTCTTCACCGGAACCTACCGTATCTCCCTGCCAAGACCGCTCCGCGATTCGAGGTGCAACGTCGGGGTAAGGGTGATCGGAAGTTGGCGATCGTAATCTCACGCGTGGTCGTGATTTTTGTTTCTTTTTCCTTCTTTTTTCCCTTGGCTCGGGCTGGTTTGATATTTGGCGGGGAACGGGATGAGGGATGAAGAGGTGTGGCGTCCTTGGGCCGAGTTGGGACGGGGATAAGATAGGAGTGGGCGGGTATGTGATGGCTTGTGTCGTGTGATGTGTTGAGAGCTTGCCCACTGTCTGCACCGTACTGTACTGTACGCTGCCGGCACCCATGATACCGATTCTCGAGTATACGTAACCCAGACGCCAGTATGATACTTGTATTAAACCTGCAGCTACCGGTAAATTATGTACGAACTTGGCGACAAAAGAAACGGACCCCCCCCCCATTTTACACCAAAAATGTGCATTTTCACTTCACAAAATCTCAGCTTTATCACTTGCAAAAAAATTTCAAAATTTTCCAGAGCCTTTAGAGCTATCTAGATATTATTTTTTATAAGTGACAAACCCTCTTAGTTAATGCCCATGGAGCAATACCAGAAGGAATGGTGGTGGTCAAAAGGTACTTACAATTTTGTATGGGCCTCCCATACAAAAGATACATTGCAACCAGATCCAATCTCTACTCTAAGCTCTCAGCCCTTCTTGTGGAGTGAGAAAATTCTGATAAAATCTACCCAGAAAGTCTAGGTAATTGCCTACATCATGGCATTAGTTTTGTTAGTTCTATATTGGTTTTGGTTGAGTTGTGATTGCTCAAAATCGGCCATTTTTGGTGTAAAATGGGGGGGGGTCCGTTTCTTTTGTCGCCAAGTTCGTACTTGTACTCGTAGAAGGGTGGGAACCCGTTAACCGGAACGGACAGGGATATATTGGCAAGTTAGCCTCATATAATATATTGTAACTGTTCCATAACTTCTTTCAGGGGCTTGTATCGATGTGTGACAAGTCACAACCCTACGGTACTCGGGGAGATTATTTTCTTCCATGATAGGCGACCGACCACCTTGACACCACCGCGAATATCCATCATTCCTCCGTCTCGCCTCTGTAGGCCAGACTCCAGACAGTATGGGCCACCAGTATATAGGAAATCGTGCCTCATTCAACAATAATACTAGCAGTTTTAACACTATTTTGCATGCAACACTAGCGGATGACAGGCCGCAGGTCCTAAAGTGGTTGTCATCCCTCGAGCCGCGGAAAAGACACCAATATCTGAGAGAGAGCCGACTCGATGCCGTCGGACAATGGATTTTTTGAACGAGCGAGTTTCAGAGATGGAATGCCGAAGAAGATGGTTCTGATCACTCGGTGCTATTTTGCCACGGGGATCCGGGTGTGGGGAAGACTCATCTGAGGTAACACTAGATATTGTGCGGGAAAGCCCATATCGTTAATGAGATGGAATTTTAGCTCTCTAGTAATCGATCACTTCTACGGCTGTGGGGACGGGATTGCGGTAACCGGGCTATATTGCGACTACCTCGATAGTAAGGAACAGACTACACCGAGCATGCTAGGGGCTATGCTCAAGCAGCTGGTAGGGGGGGGAAACATCCCGGAGGACATACGCAAAGCTTTCGAAGACGCAAAGGACCATTTTGGCGGGGTGGGCCCTCGAGTTCCGGAACTCCTCAATATGTTGAAGACGGCAATTTCCCAGCGACAACGGGTGATTATATGTATTGATGGCCTGGATGAATCACTCCCGGCACATCGTACCGGCCTTCTTAGCTCTCTGCACGAGATTATGCGGGAGTTGCCGAATGTCCGCTTATTTCTGACCGGAAGGCCTTTCATCCACAGCGAGGCCGAGAAGTACTTCCCCGGAGTTACAACAGTCTCAGTTAGGCCAACAAAGGAAGACACCGAGGCATTTCTGAGAATGAAATTGGATGGGGACACGGAATCAGACGCCATGGATGAGTGTCTAAGAGCCGATATAATGGAAATCATTCCAAAAACGATAGCGGATATGTATGCCGAGATACCTAGTTTTCTTATGTGGAAGTCGGGTGCCTCATGAATAATTGTGTATAGATTCCTTCTCGCTTCTCTCAGCGTCGATGCAATTCTCGCGGAGACAACAATTCACCGGAGGAAGGAGAAGCTTAAACAGATATCACGCGGTCACGATGTAGGGGATATATACACTGCTACTCTGGAAAGGATTCGGGCTCAGAAGAAGGACAGATCACGACTAGGTATGGAGTCCATTATGTGGGTCGCACATTCAGAACGACCATTGAAATCAGACGAGCTATGCCAAGCTTTAGGAGTAGAGATAGGGGCGAAAGATCTCAATAACGACAATAGGCCTTCAATACGGACAATATTGAACTGTGGGTTAGGGCTGGTTACTGTCGATTCATCATCTTCCACTGTCCGTCTCGTGCATTTTACTCTCCAGGAGTATATTTTTGCCAATCCTACACTCTTCCATAGCCCGCATTCGAAGATCGCCGAGGTATGCTTAACCTACCTGAACTTTGCCTGCATAAGGGACCTTTCTCCCGCTCTCTATTCACCCCCGCCAACGACTCCGTTTCTGGAATATGCCTCTTGCCGCTGGGGAGCGCATGCGCGAAGAGAATCAAACCAAAATGTAATACTACTCGCACTAAAACTCCTCGGTCAATTCGATACGCACATATCTTGCAAGGTGCTCTTACTGCGGGAATTTTCATGGAATCGCCCCTTTGATAGTCAAGATAGGCCAATTGGATTCACCGGGCTCCACGGCGCAGCCCTTCTCGGGGTTGCAGACGTAATGGTTTCTTTATTTGAGATCAAGAAATGGGATCTAAACGCGGCAGATCTCTCTGGTAACACGGCGTTGGCTTGGGCTGCGAGAAAAGGACATGATTGCATAGTTAAGCTGCTACTGGGAGAGGAGAGTGTCGATCCCAACGTCGCAAATGTGGACGGCCAAACACCATTTTCACGGGCTGCGGAGTATGGGCGCGAGGGAGTTGCGAAGATGCTATTGGAGCGGACCGATGTCAATCCCCACATGGCAGACAGCTATGC